GTGAAACAAGAAAGAAAAACAAGGGGAAAGGAGAGGTTATACTCAAACTACTTTGAAGTTATACTAAGGCACAAAACCTATTATCGGCATGGTTGAAGGACTGTCAGCTATAATAAGGTGAGTCAGTGCTATAGTACTACCCTATATTGTAGATGGATTAGAAGGAAAGTCTAGCCTAAAACCACTTTGGGAAATGAGAGATGAGTTGAGATGTAAGTCAGATTTGTAGCTCACTTTCTTGGCCACTTCACTTCACTAGCTCCCAATTTATTTCTGCAATCAAACATCTAAGATACCTTTGGCAGTGTGTTCATGAGAAGGTTATTCCATATTAAAATCAAAGAATCATAGAATCAAAGAGTTGGAAGAGACCTCATGGGCCATCCAGTCCAACCCCCTGCCAAGAAGCAGGAATATTGCATTCAAATCACCCCTGACAGATGGCCATCCATCCTCTGTTTAAAAGCTTCCAAAGAAGGAGCCTCCACCACACTCCAGCAGAGAGTTCCACTGCTGAACGTCTCTCACAGTCAGGAAGTTCTTCCTCATGTTCAGATGGAATCTCCTTTCTTGTAGTTTGAAGCCATTGTTCCGCGTCCTAGACTCCAGGGAAGCAGAAAACAAGCTTGCTCCCTCCTCCCTGTGGCTTCCCCTCACGTATTTATACATGGCTATCATATCTCCTCTCAGCCTTCTCTTCTTCAGGCTAAACATACCAGCTCCTTAAGCTGCTCCTCACAGGGCTTGTTCTCCAGACCCTTGATCATTTTAGTGGCTCTCCTCTGGACACATTCCAGCTTGTCAATATCTCTCTTGAATTGTGGTGCCCAGAATTGGACACAATATTCCAGATGTGGTCTAACCAAAGCAGAATAGAGCATGGGAGCATGACTTCCCTAGATCTAGACACTATGCTCCTATTGATGCAGGCCAAAATCCCATTGGCTTTTTTTGCCGCCACATCACATTGTTGGCTCATGTTTAACTTGTTGTCCACGAGGACTCCAAGATCTTTTTCACACGTACTGCTCTCGAGCCAGGCGTCCCCCATTCTGTATCTTTGCATTTCGTTTTTCCTGCCTAAGTGGAGTATCTTGCATTTGTCACTGTTGAACTTCATTTTGTTAGTTTTGGCCCATCTCTCTAATCTGTCAAGATTGTTTTGAATCCTGCTCCTGTTCTCTGGAGTATTGGCTATCCCTCCCAATTTGGTGTCGTCTGCAAACTTGATGATCATGCCTTCTAGCCCTTCATCTAAGTCATTAATAAAGATGTTGAACAGGACCAGGACCAGGACCAGGATGGAACCCTGCAGCACTCCGCTCGTCACTTCTTTCCAAGATGAAGCATTGGGGAGAATCACCCTCTGGGTTCGTCCATTTAACCAATTACAGATCCACCTCACCATAGTTTTGCCTAGCCCTCATTGAACTAGTTTGTTTAAAGCTCCTCGTGTGAAGTGGCGCTTTCCCTACACAGCACTGATGACTAGTGTTGTGCTATTGTCATCTGCATAAGAGAAGACAGCTTGATATGGCGTAATTAGTGGCGCCACATGGCAAACCACTTCCATGAACAAATTGCCACGTGGGCAACCTCCAAACAGCTGTATTTTCCTGGGACTGCCATACAGCTCAGGAAATTCAAGTCCTTCTGAAAATGCCTTCACAGTAATGTTGCTAACAATATAATCCATATGGATCAACATGTTATTATACCTTTACAAATCGTTTGTGCTCTACCATAACTCTCCTTCTAGCAGCCTAGAGTACCAAAGTAAGGGCGAGACTAGCATAAACCATGCTACCAGAAAACAGTGAGTCTCCTTTAGATGTAACATACCATCAGAACATATTGATCAACATGGAAGGGGAAGAAAAGATCAATGCTAGTAACATTCTGAAATAAGTGAGCATAGAGCTCTAGCTATCCATGCCCACACACCTGTCTATTCCATGGGATGCAATCTGGAAATATAAAGCCTGAGATCCAGAAAGGTTAATCACGTTTAAGGGCTGTCGTTTGTAACAGAACACACTGAAAAAAACCCACCAAGAAAATCCAACAAATGTTTCGTTCAGCAAAGGACAAGAGGGATGCTTTCACTCTGCAGGAGTCTACCGTGTACCATGCAGCTGTGGACAAGTCTACATAGGGACACCAAATGCAGCATTGCCCAGACACGAATCAAGGAACATGAAGGCACTGCAGACTACTTCAACCAGAGAAGTCAGCCATAGCAGAGCACCTGATGAACCAACCTGGACACAGCATATTATTTGAGAACACAGAAATGCTGGACCACTCTCACAACCACCATGTCAGACTACACAGAGAAGCCATTGAAATCCACAAGCATGTGGACAATTTCAACAGAAAGGAGGAAACCATGAAAATGAACAAAATCTGGCTACCAGTATTAAAAAACTCTAAAATTGCAACAGCACAACAACAGAGAGGAAGCAGGCAGGGACATCTAATTACCTCTCAACAAAAGTTTGCTCCAGGCACAGTCAGCCCATTGTATGCTAATCAAGGTGGTCAGTTGAAACATTCACACCTAGCTCCAGCAGACAAGAGTCCTTTGTCTCACCTGGTCATTCCACAGATATATAAACCCCTTTTTCCTAGTTCCAACAGACCTCACTACCTCTGAGGATGCTTGCCATAGATGCAGGTGAAACGTCAGGAGAGAATGCCTCTAGACCATGGCCATATAGCCCGAAAAAACTACAACAACCCAGTGTTCCGGCCATGAAAGCCTTCAACAATACACACTGAAAAATCCTATTGTAATTTTGTTATTGTCATCGATTGTGGATTGGTCCCTTAAGATTTAAAATGTTTCTGACATGCTTTGGCTTGGCTAGATCATATCAACTATGTGTGAACTTGGTGGTAGTGGATTCCTCACCTCCCAAATCATTCCTGTGACCAAACAAGTGCTTACCCCACTGTTGTTTGGGATTGGTGCGTTGCCATGTCTGGTGTATGCAAGTGAATACACTTTGGGCGGTGCTATCAAGAAATAAACCCAAGATTCTACTAACATGAAATATAACCCACTGCAAAAATCAAAAAATCAAAAATCAAATCTCACTGCCATAACAGATTTTTAAAAAAACTATTTTAAAAATCCTACTGAAGGAGAACATTCAGATTCAGTAAAACCCCAGAAACAGAATAGAGAGCAAAAGCCCTAGGCCTCTATGCTTGTGTTTGAGTAGTATATTTTTGTCTTGACATGCCTGCTCAGTGATCTTTAAGGTTCGGAATGGAAAGGCCTTTCTGAGACCAAATGTGGTAGGCTTAAAAATTCCTAAAAATAGATGGCTTACTAATCTGATACGAATGAGGCAATTTCTTTTCATAGGTTCACACTTGCAGACTTCTTGGGCTGATCACTGCTTAGGGTTATGTGTATTCAAAGATTTGCTTTATCGCAATAGTAGTAGAACAACTCAAGAGGTCTTCAGTTGAAAAGGTTTTGTGATTTGTCAGCCTGGGAAGACTGGCTTTGCTTGCGAATACTATCTTGACTTTCTTAACATTCCTTATTTGGTGGAAACACATTCCTGCAATACGAAAGTGTGGAGTTACGCACGTTTTAAACAAATACAGAACATGACCTAGTTTGCTACGCCTGTCATCATTGGTAAAGAGTCTGGGAGTCCTTTTGGACCCTCTGCTGACGATGGAGGCCCAGGTCTCCGCCGTTAGCAGACCACCTTCTTTTAACTGTGGCAGGCTAGACGGCTGGCCCCCTACCTGTCCAGGGACGACCTAGCTACGGTGATCCAGGCTACAGTCATCTCAAGACTGGACTACTGTAACGCCCTCTACATTGGCCTTCCTCTGTCGGTGATCCGGAAGCTCAAGTTGGTACAAAATGCAGCTGCTTGGCTTCTTGCGGGAATTCCGATGAGATGCCACATAACACCAATCTTACTACAGCTGCATTGGTTACCAATTGAGCACCGGATCACTTTCAAAGTGATGGTACTCACCTTTAAGGCCTTGCATGGTCTGGGGCCGATGTACCTGAGGGACCGCCTCACCCCCTACCAACCCCAGAGATCCCTCCGTTCTGAAGACCAAGATTTGTTGGAAATTCCCAATGTCAAGACCTTGTCTAACAGCAACCAGACGCAGAGCCTTTACAGCAGTGGCACCATCACTCTGGAATACTCTGCCACCTGAAGTCTGTGCCTTGCGGGACTTATTAGCTTTCCGCAGGGCATGTAAGACATATCTGTTTCGACAGGCCTTTGATATTTGATATTGCTGTTTTAAAATTGTTTTAAAATTGTTGTTCGATTTTAGCCTGTTCTTGTAAGCCGCTCCGAGCCCCAAGGGAGAGGCGGCATATAAGTTCGAATAATAAATAAATAAACAAACAAACTGGTATTTGTGTTTGGAAATTACTTTCCTTCGCATCATCCATAGACCTGGAAGCCTATCATTGACCTTATCATGAAGACACTGGTAAAATGAATGGTAAAAAGACCACATTTATAGATTAGCCTGTAAAAAGTAGCCCTTGACTGTACATCTTTCTGAAGAAAACTCCAACAAGATATAAGTGGTCCAAAAGTTTGAGTGTCATAGGAAAGCAGTGGAATATCATCATTTAAAAAACACATATTTGACCTCATGCATCATTCTGTCTCATAGCTTTGGAGATCATGCAGTGCAAAATTACACATTTGTGACACATGTACTTCACTGTAATAAACACATGCCATTGGTGGAAAATATAGACTTTGTCATTACTGAATAGTCCAAGCTTCTAGACTTCCTCCTTTCATTTTTTTCCCCTCTTGATAATAACATGGCAATTTTTGGATCATAACAGAATTATAAAATACAGGGGTATCTTTTTTCCAGTGTGTTACAGACATCAGATAGTGGAATTTGGGGGAAAAAGTCTGTCCAGAAAGTGATATCAGATATTGTGTGTAAATGTGAACATGTACAGTCTATCAATCAGATGCTCTTACCTTAAATTCCTCCAAGATTTTATAACTTTTCCCATGATATTCACAAAAGTTCTTCACCTCTTTGCATTCTGGACAACATCCATTGTGTTCCACTTTAGTACACTTTGGGTGGATTTTAGGGCATTCGGGTTGGTCACAAACAGGCCCATCCTCAGTACAGACACATGGGCAGTTGGAATGCCCTGGAAAAAAACGCTCTCCCAGTTTGTATACAAATCCACTGTCATCGACACAACCTTTCCCTCGATAGTCATCAAAGATCAGGTTATTATCATTATTTGAGATTTGATCACCATCATCAGCAGGGTAGTCTTCATGGTTGAAGGCAGCTGGAGTAACCAAACCAGGAATTAGCAAGAGTAATATGCAGACTTCATGAATATGAAGAGCCATCCCCCTCCTCAATGTCTGCATAGGGTCCTAATGTCAGATATACACGGATGCTTCCATGGAGAGGCCAGGGTGATGAGCTGAAAGCAAATATTTTAAATAGGAACAATTTGAAATGTATAGATATAGATGTATATTTAAGGGCTTCTATGATATATGCCATGCACCTACTCATTAGAAACCCTTTCTACTAGCTCATCATCAGCTCTTGCACACAATACTGGAAAAGTTAAGTGGAAAATGTACACACAACTTGAAAAATCTCTATGCTACGGAGAAGTTTGTCTGTTGCCCAAAATTGGTGATTCACCTATTTTTATCTGGGTAGCAAGCATGATGTGTAGAGTTTGGCAATTCATGTGAATGCTTTTCACTAGCTGAATACAATAGTGTAAAGAAGAGCATCATGGGTCCATATGCCTTCAGCATTTCTCCAGAGGGTGTACATATTATCCTAACAAGAAAATTATAAATGAATGTCAATGCAAATTGGGTTGGACAACATGCCTGTTAGCCAGATAAGGTTAGAATTGATGTCTTTTGACATTAGTCATCTTCTACATGTTGAACACATTAGACAAAGCAAGCCTGCATACACTCAGCGGCTGAATAATGTATTTTGTTATGTACACAAACACAAGAATTTCCCTGATTATATCTGAATTGCCATTCATATTTGTTTACTCACTTATATCGGCGAGTCTTTACTAAATTGCTGATAGTGAAGTGAGCCAGTTTAAAGAATGGGATTTAGACCAAATTCCATAATTACTTCTACCTAACTGTAGTTTGCAAGCCAACACTGATTTCAATCCATCTCAAATAGTTAATTAAAACTAAGATGGAAGTATGTCAGGTGCTCTCATGAAAAGCAAAAGGTTAAGGAAAAAAGGGGGAAAACACACCGAAATGTAATTACATTTACACTTCAAATATGAAGAAAAAAAACTGTATTGATTCCAGTCCTAGCTGTGTAAAAAATTCTTCTGTTACAATACAATTATAGAAGAAAATGTTTAAATATGCATTCTAGGCCTCATCTACACTGCTGTTACAATGCAAACTGAACTATAATCATATAGTCATATAATCCAGTTTAGTGCAGTTAAACTAGATCATATGTGTCTACAGTGACCATATAATGCAGTTCAATATGCATTATAATGCCAGTGGGTATTTGGTCTTGTCTGTTCTTACTAATGCTTCATATTTAATTTTTCCCCTCTGAGGAAGAAAATTCCATTTTTTTTGTGGTGGTATTCATATGTACGAGGATCAAATACTGCTTGTATCAGAGTGCCTATGTTCACACATTCATTTATCATATAATTATCCATTTTTTTTACACTTTCCTTGCTCTATTTTATTAAGACAGCTGGTGGGAGCCTAAAATAAAAATGCAAATGCACAGTCAGTGTATGCAATGCAAATCCAAGAGGATCACAAAATGGTTTCAAAAGGCCTTGCCAAGTGAGTAACTGACATGCCTTCCTAAATGCACAGAAGACCCAAAGCATTCAGAAAGGAAAGAGTTCACACAATCATCTAATTTCAAAATAAACCTTGACTTTCCCCCAACTTTCCTTACATTTCTTTAGGTCTGTTCATATGCCCTTCCACAAACTCCAGTATCACCTTTTGTCCATGTCCCAGCATTATTTCCAATTTTAACCCTACATTTGGCCTTCCCACTGTTTTTAATTGTGTGTTGTTTTATTGATAATGTTGTGTATTTCATTGTCTATGTTTTTTAATTGCTTGTATTGTTGTTATTATTGCCTGTATTGTTGTGTTTGGGTTCGGCCTCATGTAAGCCGCACCGAGTCCCTTGGGGAGATGGTAGCGGGGTACAAATAAAGTGTTGTTGTTGTTGTTATTATTATTATTATTATTATTAGCTGTCCCCTGCCATGCGTTGCTGTGGCCCAGTCTGGTGATCTGGAAAATAAAGTAATGAGAAAGTGTTGGTTTCTAATATATGTAATTCCTTTATGCTTGTGAGTAAACAGTATTTCTTGTTGTTTCTTTGTCAGTGTTGATGTGGAGAGTGTCTGGTTTGCCTACTCTGGAATATGCAACATATCATAGTCCTTCTTGAAGGGTCTCTTTCAAATCTATGATACTATATCTGTGTGTGTGAGTGAATCATATATATCTATCTATATTTATGACTGGATGGCTCTTTGTCAGGAGGGCCCTGATTACATTTTCTTGCCCTGGTGAAGAGAGTTGGACTGGATGGCCTTAAGTTGGTCATGAGGGTTCTGTGTGGGAAGTTTGCCCCATTTCTGTCGTTTGTGGGTTTCAGAGCATTCTTTAATTGTAGTGAACTATTAAAGAGCATTCTTTAATTGTAGTGAACTATTAAAGAGCATTCTTTAATTGTAGTGAACTATAAATCCCAGTAACTACAAATCCCAAATGTCAAGGTCTATTTCCTCCAAACTCCATCTGTGTTCATATTTAGGCATATGGAATTTTTGTGTCAAGTTTGGTCCAGATCCATCATTGTTTGAATCCACAGTGCTCTCTGGATGTAGGTGAACTACAACTCCCAAACTCAAGGTCAATGCCCACCAAAACCTTCCAGTGTGTTCTGTTGGTCATGGAAGTCCTGTATGCCATGTTTAGTTCAATTCCATCATTGGTGGAGTTCAGAATGCTATAAATCTATAAATCCCAGCAACAACAATTCCCAAATGACAAAATTAATTTTTTTTGAGTGAACTGGACTGTTAGGTGTCTTGTGTCCAAATCTGGTGTCAATTTCCCCAGTGATTTTTGAGTTCTGTTGATAGCACAAACTAACATTACATTTTTATTTATATAGATTATTAACTCAGCTTCTATTCTCCTGCTACTTCCCTATTACTATTGGCTGTACTCAATATTCTAACACTTTCATCAGTTTATACTGGCTTTGTTTTCTATTACTCCCCTAACTCAAGAATAGAAGAGAAAAAAGTGGTATGGATAGCTTTATTCTCTTGTATTAAACTAATCAGAAAACAGGTTTTCTAAAGATATAAAAAGAACATTACATGGATGAGAAGCATTCATATTTACTGACTATGGGGTGACAAAATTAAACAAGTGCCTTATTATTTTTTCTAAATTTTGCTTTTTGGAACCAACTATAGAACAGTGGTCTGTGTTAAACTATTGTTAAGATAACCAATATGTTCACAGTGCTTCTGTATGATGTATATGCAGACACTTACACAAGTTTATCAAGTAACAAAACCCTGCCAAACAAGAATGACTCAGGGAAAAGGATAGTCTTGCATCTTGCAGAACAACCTAAATCATTCTGTTGACAAAGCAGTTTTTTTCAGTGATGAGTGAGAAAGGGGAGGGAGAAAGATTGAGAGAGAGAGAGAGAGAGAGATTGGACGTTTCACAGCCCTGCTCAGAATATCTTATTGTTTCAAGCTCAGAATATGCTTTTAACACAACATTACGTCCAATGCTAATGGAGAAAGCATTTGTTTTAGCTATGGTGTTACGCGTGTGTCTCTAGTGTGGCAAAATCATTTCCCCTGCTTTTCAGCTCTTAGTGGGGAGTCACTAGCATGCTACAGGTAGGCTTCAGTCTGCCATGCTTAAAGCTGTGAAAACTTTAGAAAACCATCAAATTGCAAAGAAGATGTTTCTGCTGGGTACAGGCTTTACAATGAAAGCAAATCCCACAAAGGATCCAAATTATTAAATACACTTTCTTACAGGGCTGGATCATCTTAGCTATTATTGCAACAACTTCATCAGCCTACATTTGATGGAGAGAAGAGAAATGGGGTGGCATTAAGATCCATATTATAGATGGGGGGGGGGAACTCAACAAGTCAGCAAGCTCAGGAAAGCTATGAGGCTGCTATTTCATTGCATTGTTTCTTATTTATTTAATAACATAAAATGAAATTGTCATCTATTGACTTAAATCTTTTAAAAACAGTAGGTTGCTTTTCTTATGAGAGAAAAAAGTGTATAGTACTTACCTACTCAGGATGAAAGCTGAAAAGGGTCACAGGCTACCATGAATGTGAGAGAGAGAGCAATTTTTCCTCAATTACATTTTCAAGAAGGAATAATGGAAAAACCCCTTTCCCCCAAGCCTCCCATTTCACAGAAGCAATCCAACAGATACAGCATGAGATTTATGCTGGGTGATTCGGAATTCAAAGCAAGCCACCGTAGAAGGATCTGGAGTTGAGGCTGCCTTGTATCAAACCACACTCCCAAAACATGACCATGGTTGCTGGTGTCTTCGTTCAGTTCCTTGCCTGCAATCTTTAGCTCCACTCCAAACACCCCCAGCAGATCACTACCCTGTGTCGATCTGCAACAAGGCACACAAGGGTGGAGAGTATGCTACGCTCCCAATTCCAGGAACGGCAACAGTATGCTGGAGCTCAGAGCCAATCCCGACCGGAATGCAGTCAGCAGCCCCATCGTGTCTGTGCTGCTTCCCAGAGGCTCTTCCCAAAAGAAGCAGGCTTTGCTTGGGTCTCAGACACAGCAGCAACTTTGGGCAAGATTCAGCACCGCGGACAGCAGCAGCTGAGCAGCAGCAGTTTCTCCAGAGCGCATCCTGCCAGGCAGCTGGGAAAATTCAGCACCACGGACAGCAGCCAGCATTTCACAGGCGGAACGTGCTGCTCCTCTGAGCAAAGGAAACACATCTTGTGCCTCTACTCCATGGGACCACCATTTACCCTTGGCAGAAGGTATTTCCTAAACCACCAATGAGTATACATTACATCTTGCAACTCCCTTCTGTTTAAAGGGAAGAGGAGGAGAAAAACCTGTCAGCTTCAAGATATTAGTGCCAGACCAGACTGCAGGGAGACGTTCGAGGCAGTGACAGTGGGGAGGTGGAAGCTCTCTGCAGTTACTGAATGATGAGGCAAGGGTCAACGTCAAGGCACTGGTCTGAAACTTGTTCATTCTTGCATTGCTGCCATCCGGGGGATTTCTTCAGAACGTGACCACATGCAGAATATGTGCGTGTGTTGTGTATATCTGCATGCAGACAGAGAGAAGTCAATGCACCAAATGTAGATCTATTCCAGGGCTAGAAGAAGTGGAAGATATCATTGTTCTGTTGTAGCTTTTGCTGTACTACCTTGAAAGGGGGAGGGGGGGGGGAGAGGGAAACAATTCTCCTGCAATTCGTCTTCTCTGTCATTAGGCGTCATCGTAAAGCTATTTCTCTAGGAAAAGGCCAAATGACTGCTTTTAAAATACATTCCCTATAGGCAAACAAACAAGCATAGAGGCAAAAAGGCAGTTAAGACAGAAACATATATGTTTTAATTAAATGAAGATACAGAAACTTTGAATTATATGCTATTTCCTTTAAAATCTAGCATTTGAAGCTATCTCCAGTGCTAAGAAGTGGGGTCACATCTCATTTTCCTCTGAGCTGTGACCAAACAATAGCAAGTATCTTAGTTCCAAATTCGAATAGTGCCATCCGAGCCACCTGAAAGCAGGTGTTCTGCCTTGTGGTCAAACATGATGCTCTGAACTTCATCTTCATGGCCTACCAGGCTGGAAAGCTGCCCTGATTTGAGCTCTAAAGTCTTAACCGTTCCATCGTTGCTTGCAAGAGCTACAATACGACCTGTAATGGAAAGGAAACTGATCAGATGTTAGGAAGACACAGGGGCAACTTTGACCATCATTCATTTTCTGTACAAAACCATGATTGCATAGATTTTGGTATTTTTTATACATCAAACTCAGCTTTTGGGGTGTCATAAACCATCTATAGGAGCCCCCGGTGGCACAGTGGGTTCAACCTCTGTGCCGGCAGGACTAAAGACCAACAGGTCGCAGGTTCGAATCTGGGGAGAGGCGGATGAGCTCCCTCTATCAGCTCCAGCTCTTCATGCAGGGACATGAGAGAAGCCTCCCACAAGAATGATAAAAACATCAAATCATCCAGGTGTCCCCTGGGCAACATCCTTGCAGACGGCCAATTCTCTCACACCAGAAGTGACTTGCTTCTGACACGACAAATATATATATATATACCATCTATGGAAAGTTTTCAGCCAGCTCTCCTTGAGAGCTACCGAATAAGTATATTTTAACCTTTTTCTTCAAATTTGCTGCCATTCATGAATTTTTATCTGTCTCCCTATGTTTTTTGCCCATAGTACCACACAGTTTTTGATTTCTTCTGTTTCAGTTCCTCAAAATCTATGCTGGAAATGTAAAAAACAAATAGGAAGTTATTATCACATGTGGTGGACGTGGCCAGAAGCAAATAAATATTGGCGAGCTATACAAGAAGAGACTCAAAAAATCCTTTAAAAAAAAAGATTCGACGGAATCCGGAATATTTCCTACTAGGCCTCACAGACAAAGACCTAAATTTAAATAGTAACAAGGACATTCTCTTTACATATATCTCTACTGCAGCACGGATAACCTTCGCAAAACATTGGATGGACGAGCACATCCCAACAACCGAGGAATGGTTAGACAAACTATTAGAAATAAGAGACGTGGATAAATTAACGTTCTTCCTGAGAAACAGCTCTGGAAGACCAGTGAAACAGACGGATTGGACTGACTTTGAGGAATACGAGAAAAATATGAATGTAAAAGTAATTAAGATTTGAAATGGAGAAGCACAATATGTATGATATTGGTATGGTCGGGTGAAAACCAAAATAGGTTATGCCCCTGAATAGAAGGGAGACCATGTGATACCGGATGATGTACTGTTTGGAAATAGAATGGAAGTCACATTTTAATTTGTCTTTTTATATAGGTATGTATGTAGGTGTATGTATAAGTGTGTTTGTATGTATATGTGATGCACCCCCGAATTTTCCCCTTGTCACTCCCCCAACCCCTACCTATCCTTCTCCCCCCCCCACTTATTTTCTTATAACTTCAATAAAGATTATATTTAAAAAAACATGATTGCAGATCATTATGCACTTTCACAATGATAAAAGACAGGGAGGAAATCAATATTAAAAAAGAGATTTGATTTCAGAATGATTAAATATATGATAAAATCTCAGGATTTTATGCTACCATCTAAAGCACTGTAAGGACTATTATTTAATGTAAAGCTGATATGCCTCTACTCCAAGCAGCATTCTGTGCTAAGGAAGTAATTATGTTCTAAAAATGGAGCAAAGGCAGAGTTTAAATTAGCTATGCAAATCAATAACATGAACTCATACATTTTGTTTTGTCTATAACTCTTTAGCAGTCTGCTTTGTATGGAAAAATGTATATAGTTTTGTAGATTTTTTTTTTGCTATATGCTGGAAGAGCATTAAAAAAGAGTTGAGTGGTAAGTTGCATAAATACAACCCAAAAGGACATGGCAATTTACTATGCATACTAGGCAAATTCTGCTTTTGAAGAAAAGAGAGTCATTTGCATCCCATAGTCCCTTAGAGGTAGTGGCTGTTCAATTTCTTTTCACAGAGGCCTGTGAGAATAAATCTCTGCTCCACCCATCACTTTCTATTGGGAGTTTAGACATTCCACCTTTATTGATGGAATCATGTTTGCACTATAACAAATGCATCAGGGAGAACACAGCATTTCGGATTTCTCTTAGTGGACTTCCTATATGAAGCACATGTGACTCCAGATTCACTAAAAGATCTGTAGATTTATTTGTAACCTAAAAAGAGATAATAGAAGAAGTTTAAGGAATAAAGCTGACATGAAGAAAAACGACTGTTTTGAAATGTGGTGCTCGACATGTCTGAGCTTTTCCTAGAGCTTTTCCTAGGCCCTGCATCAATAGGAGCATAGTGTCTAGATCTAGGGAAGTAATGCTACCCCTCTATTCCGCTTTGGTTAGACCACACCTGGAATATTGTGTCCAATTCTGGGCACCACAATTCAAGAGAGATATTGACAAGCTGGAATGTGTCCAGAGGAGGGCGACTAAAAAGGTCAAGGGTCTGGAGAACAAGCCCTATGAGGAGCGGCTTAAGGAGCTGGGCATGTTTAGCCTGAAGAAGAGAAGGCTGAGAGGAGATATGATAGCCATGTATAAATATGTGAGAGGAGGAGGGAGCAAGCTTGTTTTCTGCTTCCCTGGAGACTAGGATGCGGAGCAATAGCTTCAAACTACAAGAAAGGAGATTCCATCTGAACATTAGGAAGAACTTCCTGACTGTGAGAGCCGTTCAGCAGTGGAACTCTCTGCTCGGAGTGTGGTGGAGGCTCCTTCTTTGGAAGCTTTTAAACAGAGGCTGGATGGCCATCTGTCAGGAGTGATTTGAATGCAATATTCCTGCTTCTTGGCAGGGGATTGGACTGGATGGCCCATGAGGTCTCTTCTAACTCTTTGATTCTATGATTCTATGATTCTATGCTCTCAGCTCTGCCTCCGTTTCAAACATGTTTGTTGGGAACGAGGGACAGGGCCTTCTCGGTGGTGGCCCCCCACCTGTGGAATTCACTCCCTGGGGAAATTAGGTCATTGTCATCCCTCCTCACCTTTAGAAAGAAGGTAAAAACATGGATGTGGGATCAGGCCTTCAGGTAATTAGGCAGAAATGACAATTTACAATGTTGACAATGGCTTAGAAGTGGATTATGGATAAGTTAAACCGAGTACTCAGACAAATCATCCAGGCATCCCTTGGGCAATGTCCTTGCAGACGGCCAATTCTCTCACACCAGAAGCGACTTGCAGTTTCTCAAGTCTCTCCAGACACGACAAAAAATTATTATTATTATTATTATTATTATTATTATTATTATTATTATTATGTTTATTATGTTTATATATCTTGCCTTTCTCTCCCCACAAGGAGACTCAAAGTGGCACCCTAAAAACTCTGCCAGTATTATTCCCAACTGAAAATGAAATAAACCTTGAAATGAGTCCAAATAATGAGAAAACAGGCAGAAAAAACAGTTGTTTGTATTTATTTGCAGAAAGATCTAGTACTAATGATGTGATGGTAATTTCCCACAATAAAAAAAATCCTTCCTGCTGAGATTAATGAATCTCAGTAGAAGGCGGTTTTTGCCACAAGACACACTGCAAACAGCAGATCATGTCACTTAGATGATATAGTAGTAGTTTCAAGTCATTTCACAGCTGTAGTTCCTTGTCTTCTAGTTTTCCCACCAATTGCCCCTCTGTAGATATAACTGGCTAGAGTGGGCTTAATGGTGTATTCTGTGCATTGGTGTCAATCTATATTCTTTGGTAAGCAAACCTTTGGTTAGTTCTAAGCAGGTTAAAAAAAAAATTCATTCGGTGCAGCAATTTGTCTAACTCATAACATGATCCCCAACTCATAACATAATTTGTCCAACTCATAACATGGCTGAAACTCCCAATAGCGTACCAGTTTGAATTGCCTTCATTCCTAATGTGTGCCACATTCAAAGCCATTAACATACTTCATGTGTCCTGAAAGAATGACAGTTTATCAAGGGCTACACACACATTGTTTCTGCTTGTTTCAACTAATTTTGGAACGTAGAAAATCTCTTCAGGCTCATTACTGCTTTGACGTGGTAGAACCTTGAACTTGGTTGCCACAGTTGCTCTGGAGCTTCACATGATAAACACCCTCCAAGAGCAACAAGCTAATGTGTGCCATCAACTCCATGATATTAAAGGGCTTCCACATTTCACCTTTGGTAAGGTTCATCTCATGCCTTGAATACACACGACACCATCACATGCAGCAAAAGATAGTTTTGGTGGGGAACAGTCTAAAGCTTTCAAGCATTGTGTCTGTACATCTTTCCTTGATGCTAAATGTTCCTAATCTGTGTTATCTTTGTTTTGTTTTTTGCTGATCCTTGGTGGACTGTTGTAGATGTCTACAAATGATTCTTCCATCCCTAGCTCTCTTGCATCACTATCTCTGCTTCTATCAGAAACAATTTTATGGAATCAGATAGAATCCTTGCCTGGACAAAATCAAATGATCATGTACTTGCTGCCCTCCCACCTTTGCAAGACAGAGAGGTTGTTTCTCATCTAAGCAATGATACCAGTCTCTCTGGATCATGTTTTGATCAGAAAAAGGCATGGAGCATTATCTGTCCTACCATATTATTAACTTTATTTATACCCCGCTAACATCTCCGAAGGACTCGGTGCGGCTTACAAGAGGCCAAAGCCAACACATCAATAAAACAACAATATAATAAATATAACAATAAATAAACTCATAAAGCAAAACAATAACATTAAAACAATACCAATAAACATTAGAAAACAACACCACAATGCATTTAAAACTGAGGCCAGGCCAAATGTAATGGATAAAATTTTAAAAAATGCTGGACATGACAGGTGAAATGGATAGGTTTTTGGAGATAGGTGCAGTGTGCAGACAATCTTAAATCTCTAGTAAAGTGCATTTGGGACATGATGCTAGGAGTTTCCTATTCAGGGAAGGCACACTGGAACAGCCACGTCTTCAAGCTCTTCCTAAAGACTGCCAATGTTGGGGCTTGTCTGATGTCCTTGGGGAGAGAGTTCCTGAGTCGGGGGGCCACCACAGAGAAGGCCCTGTCCCTTGTCCCCACCAAACGCGCTTGCGACGCAGGTGGGATCGTGAGCAGGGCCTCTCCAGATGATCGAAGAGATCATGTGGGTTCGTATAC